ATACGTACGTATCAGTACATATATCGATATTTCGTATTAAGTATAAAACCAAATATAGTTTACAAGTCGAATACTTATAAACAAATTTTATTAGGATTAAATTTTTATATACGATGAACTGATATATTGTTGATTTTCTTTTTAAAAAAAAGTAACCCAAGGTTCAAAATTTGTCGGTGTTTATTAATTGTATAAATTGGATGCACGTGAGGACAAAATCATATTTAAAAAATCCGTGTATCTAGATGCCGTATTATGACGAACTCGCTGGGGCATTATTTGAAAGCCAGAGAATTGAAATAGTAGATCACCGCTTTTAATACAATGTATCATTGTTATTTGCATCTTTAAAATTAAGGAGACGATCTATTATCTCAATACAAGTAATACTCCAGCGTTATTTGAAATTATTAATTAATTGGACGTAAAAGTGAGTTAATTAAAGTATATTAATTAATAGTTTATGTATGTAATAATACCGTAATAGCTTACCTGAGTCTGAAATGATTAATTAAAAGTTAATTAGACGATTTACTCTCTCAATACGAATAGTGCTTCAGTGTTATTTGAGTGTTATTTGAAATGATTAATTAATTAGATGTAAAAGTGATTTAATTAAAGTATGTATATTAATTAAAAATTTATATGAATGATGCAATTATGTAATAATACTGTAATAGCTTACCTGAGTCTGAAATGATTAATTAAAAGTTAATTAGACGATTTATTCTCTCAATACGAATAGTGCTTCAGCATTATTTGAGTGTTATTTGAAATGATTAATTAATTAGACGTAAAAGTGATTTAATTAAAGTATATTTATATGCAATTATGTAATAATACCATAATAGCTTACCCGAGTCTAAATGATTAATTAAAAGTTTAATTAATGCATCTAAATGTTTATCGAGCAAAGATAATATGATGCAATCGCAATCATATAAAATATATTTAATAAAATAAATCAAAAATTTGTTTTTTTTTTTGTTCTTGACAGTTAGCCGTAAAAATCGTATGTGTCTTATTTAAAATAAAAGCGTAAGGTTAAGAATTGATTTAACTTATAGAGGATAGGTTATTAATTGATTATAATCTCTATTTTACTTCATAATTTAAAATAAGAGTTCATTTCGTGGTGCTTCGTCTTGATATAATGGAACCTTCATACGATGCTGAAATACTGAATAATCTTTTAGAGCCACCGGAGCCGTTATCTAATAACATTGCAGCCATACTTACTCCAAATTATGGTTACGTGGTCTCAGGACGATCATCGTCCTCGAATATAATGGACATTGCAGCCATACTTACTCCAAATTTTGATTGTGTGGTCTCAGAACAATCGTCGAATATGATGGAATTTTCATATGATGATGAAATACTAGAGCCTCCGGAGTCATTATCTAATAACATTGCGGCCATACTTACTCCAAATTTTGATTGTGAGGTCTCAAAACGATCGTCAGTATCGGATACAATGGAACCTTCATATGATGCTGAAATACTAGATCCTCTGGAGCCGCTATCTAATAACATTGCAGCCATATTTACTCCAAACTTTGATTGTGAGGACTCAGAACGATCATTGGTTTCGGATACAATGGAATCTTCATACAATGCTAATAATATTTTAAAGCCGCCGGAGCCGTTACCTAATAACGTTGCAGCTGTACTTCCTCCAAATTATGATTATGTAGTCTCAGAATTTAAACAACTCCCTAACTATATAACGGCGGAAGGGTTTTCAATTGATCAGTTTGAAGCAGATCTTTTCGTAAATATCAGTGATGTTGAAAGTGCACAGCGGTGGTTTTCGCAATTCGAAGAAATATCAAAAACAACAATGCCCAAAACAAAAGGTTTTAAAATTCAAGGGAAAAAGGTTCTCTTTAGAGAATTACAGCATTGTATACATAGTGATAAAGTACGGCAAAAACAGGGAGATTCTATTTTAAAAAATCCATATTCACTACGAGTAAGAAACACAGAATGTGCGGCTACAATCCACTTTCGGCTTGAACGTTGGCGTCTTCAAACGACTCACCCATTTGAAATTAATATCAAATTTGTGCATAATCATATCATTTATTCTGCGGAGTCTCTTAGTTTTCGACGCGTTAAAAATGATGTTTGCAGTAAATATATTGAACTTTTTAACAATGGATATTCACCAGCAGCTGCCCTGCGTACTTATGAGGATAGCCTTTATTTGCGTGCAAACGATGAGCAAGAGCTTATGCAGCTATTAGCAGATCGCGCGGAAAATCCAGACTATGGTTATGTCTTACATTTGTTTGAACAATATCGCAATAAACACCTAGAAGGGCAAAATGGTACATTAATGTTTCAACGCCTTGAACAAGAGGTTAATAATTACAATAGTTCAGGGAAGGGACGTGCCATATTTCAAGAATATGATTCATTATCAGGAAAGGCCTATATACTTTGTATTGTCACCAATTTAATGAGCCGTGTCCATGAAAAAATTCATCAGGCGAGTGAGCTCTGTTATGTTGACGCATCTGCTTCCTTTGAACCATTGAATACGTCGATTACATTGTTTTACACAAGTTGCATCGCGGGTGCATTACCTCTTGGGGTTATGATAACATCTGATGAATTAGAAGTAACCTTGGAAAAAGGAATGAATCTTTTAAAGAATCTTCTTCCACCTTATGCTTTCTATGGCCATGGTCCTAATGTTGGCCCAATAGTTTTTCTCACTGATGATTCTAAAGCTGAGAGAAATGCATTAGAGAGTTCCTGGCCACAATCAATGCGATTGCTATGTATATTTCACATCCTTCAAGCTTTTTGGCGTTGGTTGCATAATATAAAACATAACATAAATAAGGAACATAGATCTCTTATAATGAATGATATGAAGCAAATATTATATGCGCGAACAGAAACTGAAATGGTAGAATGTTATCATAGGTTAAAAACTAATTATTATAGCATGTATCCGCAATTACAAAAGCATATTGATTTGCTTTGGAATAGGCGGCAACTCTGGGCACTGTCATTACGTTCTGGGCTTCCTTTACGTGGAAACAACACTAATAACTATGTAGAACGTAGCTTTGGATTACTAAAAGATATTGTATTTACGCGCACTCAGGCATATAATTGCATTCAGGTTTTTCAATTTATAACCACTATTATGGAACGCTTCTATGAACGCCGATTACTTGGTATAGCCCATCGTCACCCTAGTCATCTCAGCATCGCTAAGCGATTTTTATGCCCCGGTTGGGAGGCTATTAATTCAGAGAAAATTCAGCAAACTGTGATACCTGCAGAGTACCTAGTTCCAAGTCAAAAGAGTGAAGGCAAATTTTACATTGTTAATACTGAACTTTATACATGCACATGTTTCACTGGATTATCTGGAGCTCCATGTAAACATCAGGGAGCAGTATCTGTAAAATATCGTATTGGATCATTAAATTTTTTTCAGTCATTAACACCTAACGATCGTGCTTGTTTCGCATATATTGCACGTGGTAAGTGATTAATATTCATACGGAATATTTAAACAATTACTAATCTCTAAAAATTACTAATTTTCTTTACTATCTTAAGGACTTACAGCAGATAATTATTTTTATGCGTCACTACATAATATCCAATACGAATATCGTGAAAATAACATATCAATTAATATGCTCCAAGAAACAAATGAAACTCAAGAGCCACAAGAACCTAAAGTAGACCAAGTTACTGTAGCAGAGTATGTATTTTGCACTTTATTTATTTATTTTTATACATGCTTATCAGATATTTTATTTTTAGGAATAATCCGGCTTTTTTTGAATCATTTATTGAAACAATAAAACACGATTATAAAAATTGTGGACCGCAACTTCAGGCAGCTTTTATAAAGTTTGCAGAACGATACAATGCAGCGAAGGAAAAATCTATTCCAGCTTTAACTTCCTTTTTATATGATATGAATTGCAATTTTGATCCACTTGTACGTGTTAGGAGTGGTCCAAAAATTCGGGTACAAGTAGAATCAGTAAAACGTAGAAAAGTTAATAAAGAAAATTGTGATCCACATGCTATTCCAGCACGTAAAGTTCGAGTAGCTGGTAAAAAAGCACATAGCCTTAGTAAAAATGTTAATAAGAATCAGTTGAATTAACAGCTCTGCATGTAATTAGTACAAATACTTTTTATGTATCAAAAATACATAATTACTTTCTTGCATCGTTTAGTGCATTAACCAAAAAAATTATATTACTGTAAATATTGTGAAAATTACAAAATTGCAAGATAAAAAAAAGCGTTAATCACGAATAATAATATTGTGAAAGTAGTTAATATAATTGCTCATATGCATAGTCTTAAGGTAATATGAATATGCCAAAGTAAGATGATAGCACACCTGAATCACTAGTCAAATAAAACGGACCAAAAATCCAATTATTTCAAAAACATTGTGTAAAAAAGCTTATGATTTGCCTGAATTTGGATCAGCCCAAAATACCTTATTCTAAAAACAATATTCTCTTGTTATTTAAAGTAAAGTGACTAAAAAGATACAATTATAGAGTATCAGAATTTAATTATTAAAAACCATTAATAACTTTACAGCAAAATTTTTTAGCAGGAGTACTAGATTATTTTTTATTTATTTTTTTAGCAGGAGTACTAGGCTTTGACTTTTGTTAGAAGGATTTGAGGTTTCGACTTTTGTTAGAAGAATTTGTGGTTTTGTCATTTAGTGCTCAGGTTTCGACTTTCGTCATCAAGAAAAAAGGTTTCAGCTAACCCTATGTGTTTCTAATCCCTTTAGCCACGTACTGTAGAGATGAATGATTTCTTGAGAATTTTGATAACAAATATTAAACATATTTTGTGTTAGTGATAAATAAATAATTACAGAACAAATTTTTTAAATGCGTATAACTACTTAATGCTAGTAAGTATGTAATTAAGATTGTGTATATTGAGTTCTAAATTTTATTATTTATTTGCAAAAAAATAAAAATAAAAATAAAATATTAAAATTATATGTATTAAATAAATTTCTATACGTATTTGATATTACATATCTTCAAATATTAGATTATAGTTTATATGTAGTATAATATACATACATTAAAGTTTTATCGGCTTGCTACAAGAATAAGC